CGGTAGGGCGGGTATGTTGCCAAGCCTTGAGGGCAATGAGAAGGTCTTCTAACTTGTCGGATGGGAGGCGGATTTCGAAGCGCTCTGTGTCCAGCATGACACCGAGGAATGTCAGGGTTGTACTAGGGCCTTCCACCTTTTTTTGGATTGACCGGGAAGCCTAAGTCGTGGCAGGCTACCAGGGCACGGTCAAGCTGGTGCTGTGCGCCGATAGAGTCCGTCGCTCCACCAAGGTAGTCGTCTAAGTAGTGGATGACTGGGGCTACGTCGAAGTTGTGCGACATGACCCACTGGAGGGCGTCTGCGACTTTGTTAAACAGCGACGGTGATGAGCGAAGGCCGAAGGGTAGGCATTTGTCCACGTAATATTGCCCGCGCCAGAACAGGCATAATAGTTCCCAGTCCTCTTTCCGTACTGGACAAATGCGAAATGCGTCTTGGAGGTCGACCTTCCACAGATGGCAGCCACGGCCTAGGGACCGTGCGAGATTTACGCCGTCGTCGACCGAACAGTACTGTACAGAGAATTTGTCGACAGGGATACCATCGTTCACTGAGTGGCCCTGTGGTGCTGACAGATGCATAATCAAGCGCCATTTTTGCACCGACCGTGACTTCTTGGGAACCACACCCAAACCGGAGACCTGTGTAAGTGTGAAGGGGGGCTCTTGGTAGGGACCGGCCATGCGACCTGCGGCAATTTCACGACCGATGGCAGCATCGACAATGTCAGGGTGCTCAATCGCTGATTTGAGATTACGAGAGACTCGGAAGGTACGGGGACCAGCAAACCCAATATCGAACCCGTAAGACAAAGAATGTATTACGAATGAGGCAAAAGCCGGATCAGGATGCTGACACAAAGCGTCCTGCAGGTAAGAAACGTTAATGGGGGTTACAGGCGTGTGCAAATGGATTGGCTCGTGAGCGAGGGTGCGTGTAGGAGAGATGTGAGCAGCTGGGCAGAGTGTGTGAGTGCTATTGGCCTGGGTGAGTGTAGAGTTACCGGTGAGTGACTGGAGTGACCGAGTCTCCAAGCTGGGCAACTGCGAGCTATTGGTCGCGGCTGGCGGCGGCTGGCTTTCCTGGGCATGACTTGGCGGGGTGGCTGCCAAAGCATGTGCTGCACTGGTGGCCGTAGCGACAGGCTGCGCGTTGGCAGCGGCCTTGGTTGTAGTCGTGGCAGACAGCTGGGGCGTTTGGGTGAGCGGTAGCCCCTGACCGCTGTGCCGGAAAGGGGCGTTTGGCTGCTGGCCCGTCAGACAGTGAAGCTAGGCTACGGGCGCGGGGGCAGCGAACTGTTAAATGACCTTGCCGGTTGCAGTGACGGCAGGGAGGCAGGATGGAGTTTGTAAACCACTCCGACCAGAGTTCCGGATCTGACGTGGCAAGGCTAGATTTGCTGCGTGCAGCTCTTGCACGGAACGACATGTCGAAGCCAGACCACGCACCGAATGTATAGCGTGCGGCCGCTTTCACGATTGTGCTTTGGTACTTGAATAATTCCGGACCTCTGCCGGGGTCGTGGTGGAGGGCTACTTGGGCGAAGGCTGAGAACGCCTCCAACCACGATGTCAAGTCTACAACTTTCTTTAGACGGGATGACGACGACATGGCAGATGGCACAAGGGTGATGTGGTCCCCCGTCCCCTGCAGGGTGAACCCACTGTCCGGACCCATGCTCGTATCAAAAGCCAGCTCTCCCAGTACCCTACCAAAATCAACGTACTCACGTTTGATAATCTTGTCCGTGAGATGGTCGCTGAGGGCAGGTAATGGGATGGATGGTGGACGCTCTGGGGCGAGCAAATCGCCGTCCAGGAAGAGACTCTCCTGGTCTGGTCTTAGTGCTGAAGCCAGTGAAGGCTGGACATATTCGGGCTCAGAGTCAGGCACCACAACATCACCAGAGACTGGACCAGCCCGCTGTGCTGCTGTTGCTGCTGCTACAGTTGGCTGTGCATGTGGAGGTACCACCGGTAGACCCATCGAAGTTGTCAATGACGTCATGCAGGACGCCACTGCATCTTGCACGACCCGAGAGATCTCGGCAGATTGCTGCGACGTGAACGCGGGCGACGAGTCAGGCTGGGTCGCGGCCGCGGGGCTTTGAGTGGCCGGGACTGCAGGACTAGCCCGCCGACGCGTGGTCTTTTTTGCGACCTGGCTCGTAGACTTAGCTTTGTTTCTTGCCTGGGCCGACAAATGCTCATGCAGACGGCTCACCTGGGCTCTAAAATTGCCTGAGCAAGAAAGCCCCAGTTCTCGCAGTCGAGTTTCAACTCCGTCGACTTTGAGTTGGCGGAGATCGGAAAGTGATGGCACGGAGCTCATGGTGACGGCTCAGGATCTCCTGCGACTGCGGAACTTTAGAAATTTCAAATCTCGCCGAGTAATTGCAACAAGGAAGAAAGAAATTGCAAAACAGTTGGATGCACGCAGCAGCACAGCTAGCAAGAGAAAGAGCCGTGGATGGGTTTGTTCCTGTTTTTGATGGCTGTGGCCATCCGTTGGCCCAGCGGTCTCGTGTGAGTACCTTGTTTGTTCGTGCTGCCAGCTCGCGCCCGGCATTTGTTTGCGCTGGCAGCTCGGGCCCGGTGCGCGAGTGAAACCGAACCGTGACAAAGGCTTTCGCTCTTTAGTGCTATTGACTGGCTTTTCATACGATGCCTATTGATGTCTAGAGACATGCTGTCTAGCCTTCCCCTAGTACGCATTCACGGGGCTTTGTTGAAGTTCGTGCCGTGAACTGCCAAAGGGAACTGTTTGAATGGTGCTGGGGCGAGTGCGACATTACGGCGTCCCTGCAGCCGGCCTAATCGCGTTTGTCGCCACAACCGATTATATCGTTCAACTCATAGCCAGCAATCGCATGTCATCAAGTACATTGAAAATCAACATAATTTTACGAATCGAACTTTTTTCAGGATCACTTTTCAACGAGGACGAAGCAAAGTCGGCCGAACGAAGCCTAGAGGTAGAAAATCACCCTCTCCACTTCACCAACACGATACTGACATAGATACGAGATGAAACAACTAAAAAATCCACAAGAAAACTGTACGGCAACTTTGGTCTGACTTTGGTCTGAGCATTTCTATCACGATCAAAAATGTACGAGGAGCACTCAAAAATAAGCCACAGACGTACCTTTATCGCTCTCTACTCCTTTTTCAAGGCACAAAAGTCGACTCTCCACTTTCAAACCAGGAACCAGAAATACCAGTGGTCCTTTTCAGCTGCTCCACGAGCGCAGGAAATGTTCACCAAGGTGCGCAGAGCAGCATCCATTCCAGAAAAAGAGCTAAAATACGAGTGAGACTACATGCCTGAGTACATGAGTAAATGTATGAGTACATGCAGAAAATAGTCAATTTCAGCGCTTCTGCTCCAAACAGCAACTAGCTTCGACTGGAAACAAAGATTACACTAAAGGATCAAACAACAACCATTTTCTGCAGTTTTTTTTGCATATGTCTTCTTTGTGCTTGGGCCAGCACGCCAAAAATCACACCTTGGAGGAGTACAAAAATTACAACTCTCAGATGTCCTCGACTGCTGGCCCTGCGCAGGGTGAAACCCTTGTGGGGGCTAATTTATGGTTATGATAAACGGTAGTTTTTTTGGACAAATAATGATAGTGTGTACCCATTTCGCCTTGTTTCGAGTATATGTCGCTATAAATGGCTGCACCGCGAGAAATAAAAGCTATTCTCATGGAATAATACTCATAAAAAGGACACACTCCTGGCTCATTACAAACATCTTGAAAGTTTTTGTCTTCACAAGTATACTTTCAAGCCTTCTCGTCAGGTGAAAAACAGGCAAGAGAAAAGGGACAGATATAGTAAGAAGGTTGTAAAACAGCGCAAAGAAGAAGATAGCTAAAGTAAACAGCGAAAATTGCAATAATGACACAAAGGTGCAAGTGCGGGAAAACTCAATAAGCGTGACATGTAGTGCGACAAAAAGAGACAACCACTGGACATACATGTAACTAACGAGGTTGCGTCACGTGTACGCAGTGCTAGATTGCTGAATGTTTTGGAAGCCGTATACATCCACACAAAGAAACCCAAACTTTGCAAGCAGAAACAAATTAGATTCACACTTAGGCTGTTAGGTAGAAGCAAAACTGAGATCCAAGCGCTTCATTTTATATCCATCACGCATGCACCATGCTAAAGGGAAATCCCTTGGCACGCTCCTCAACAAAAAGAAGTAATGAACAAATCGCGTTCCCCCTGGCCCATGATTTCCGTGTTCATCTTGTTGCCGCTCAATGAATTCTTATCCTATCGCAAAGAACTTTATATCCCCGGAAGATAAGGTCAAGACCATTCCAATGGTGTATTGATTGTTGCGATGCGTGAATGTTTGACGATGATACGAAAGTTTGTACACTGGTCTATGCACTGCAATATACCACGAGAATGCTTTTGTGAGTTAACTTGTCCGTATTGGATCAGGTCATTCATAAAGCGCGAGTTAACTCGTACTCAGCACGTAAAGGGTTAAACCTTGAACAAATTCTCACGTTGCGTGGTGATGTCTGCGGCATTCATACTTTTCATAGCTATTATAAAACTTTTATCTCCACGTAGATTATTTGTGTAAACAATCAGTTCATTTTTATTTCTTTTCTTTATACGAAAGTCCACTATTTTCTCGAACATGTGCGAGAAGTGGTGGTGGGCCCAGGCTGGTCTCTTTCACGTAGGTACAAGCAATGTCAGCAACAAATACAACCTTGTCAGTTGAGTTGCTCTCAGCACATCGGCACGTCGTCACTACATCCCCTATGTGTTTGCCTTTTTCCTCGTTTCTTTTTGTTCTCCACCTGTTTTCAGTAGGGCTGTGTTAATAGTAAAAAAAGAAGAAAAAAGGAAACAGTTTGCACATGCTACACCTTGCAGCTCTGATGGCTTGCCAGAAACACACGTAGCAAAAATTTAAAAATTTGCTCTCACCAATGCAGGGTGGGCTAGGGAAGGCCGACCATTTGGCATTATTCTGACAGTAAATTGACTGGGGAACTGTAGTGTCAGGTTCGTAAAATTGGTTGCAAATTACATACCGTTGACTTGAGTACACCGTACCCTGCCCAGTGGAGAGGCTATAGTGCAAAGTGTTGTTTTCCGGTTGGCCACAAGTAATCGCTGCAATATAATGCGCACGAGAAATGAAGGAACGCATTGAGCAATGCGGGGCATAAGAACAAAGGCTTCCCGTTTGGAAGCGGGTGGGTTTGAAGGATTTCCTCTTTGAAAATAATTACACACACACACTCCCGCACTCTCTCCCTCCCTCTCTCCCTCCCTCTCTCTCTCTCCATCTCTCAATCTCTCTCTCTCTATTTCTCATACACACCCTCTCGCTTTTCACTCTCATTCTCATTCTCTCCCGCTCTCACTCCCTCTCCCTCGTTGTGGAGTGAACAAAACATTCCATATTGTACTGCAAATTCAGCAAGAGTGCAAACACACCTTTTCGGACTAGATACTGAGCTGTGAGATGAGACAAGGGTACAACAATGTTTGTGCGAACAAAAGCATGGCTGCGCTCCAAAACAGATGATCAACAATACTGTTGTTGTCGTGACACACATGTAGGCGCATGTGCTTGTAAACCGGATATAAACACACTGGCATTTACAAGCACATCCTCTTATGGGCGAAGCACTACGAAAATTCTCACTTTGACACAATCATGGATGAAAGTCGGCAAAGAGCATACAGGGACCATGAAACTGACACTTTAAGACTTAGTCAAGAACAAAGACTCTGGCAAGCGGACTCTGATCGCGCATGCGCATTTAGGTGAAATACCTTTCATTTTACGTGGTCCTCGTCAGCAATATTGTCGCTTATCTTTCGACAATTTGAGCTTAGACTTTGGACATGAACGTGTGCACTTGAAGTGATAAAACTTGATACGATGAACGGTAAGGTATAGAATGAGAACTAGCTGCGAGGAATTTATTGTCCAAGGAAGGGTTCCTACTTTTTTCGGTCCTCCTGTTCGCTGCTCTCGGCGCTGGCGACAAATATTTTTGCTCGGGATCGACTCTCTTGCTTTTGCAAGCTCATCTCTCTTCCTCTCCGCTGCCTGGCTATTTTCTAAAAAGAAGTCGATCGTGACGGTCGCCTTCTCTATAGGACTTCGCGAGGGCAGCACGACAGCCTGTGTGGTTCAAGTCAGACGCCGCTCTTTGCAAGATTTTATTTTGAACGACGACGATGCGTACAGTACTTGCAAATCTCCACGACTCGCTGGATACTCCGAGCATTGAGCTGGAGGTAAGGGAGCTGCGATCTCAGCTTGATGAGCAATCCCTGAGGTGAGCGATCTCGGCCGTTCAGCAAAATGGAGCTGATTCCGAGTAGCCGATTACGTTCTTGTTGCTTGCGCTGCTCTTGCCTGCACAGCGCTGTATCAATCAGAATCACCCACCTGTCGCTCTCGAAATCCACTCGAACTCTAGCTAGACCTTTCAGGTACTAGCAAACTAACTTGCTAACCAAAATTGGGATGAAATGGGCTGCCAAGTAAGCATTGGCGACATATAAACAAAGCTGAAAGATAAGCGACAATATCGCTGACGCGGACCAAGTAGAAAATTTGATTCGCCGCAAAAATTCACTTATCAGCACACATGCTTATAAGTGCGTTACCGCGATAACCGGCACTCACTTGTTTGACACTGGTCCCCTGTGAGACCGACTGGGCACTGGCACTCTCCGGAGATATGATGGCAATGGCGGAACCCATATAAATTTGGACATTGAGTGCATTCCTGCGAGCACCCGAGACCAAAATAACCGGTAGAACATTCTGCCTGACAACGTAATCCGTGATAGCCTGCAATGGAATTTGAACGCAATAACACACGCAAAGGGCCAGCTTAAAACATGTCAAGACATGTACTGCCAAATTCCTAGCCAGCAAGAAATGCTGAAACACCAGAGTTAGCGACAGCCGAGAAGACAGCTGAAGCAGCTCAAACTTTAAAATCCATGCTACGGCTACCGTATTGCTCTATCAACGGTAGAAGCGGCAGATAAGAAAGTAAAAAAGTTGCTAGAACAGCAATAGAAGCAGCAACAAAAGCAGCAGGTTAAGGTAGCTTGAAGTGAAGTAAAATAAAGGCAAAATAACATGGAATGGACTCGGATGGAGAGCCAAATATTAATTTTTAAGAAAGTAGAAGAGGACTAAGAAACTGCAAGCTACGCTATAATGTCCACTAACGCCACCAATTACAAAAAAATCAGCTCATGCGATACTGACGTTCTACAACTAACTGGGCAACAGGTCACGCACATCTTGGAAGGGCACACCCACAGCCTTCCAACTAGCTGATTGTTTAGTAACTGGTGTTGTTAGTGGACACTATAGCGTAGCTTGCAGTTTCTTGGTTCTGTTAACTTTCTCAAAACCTAACATAATATAACCAATGGAACCTTCAACTCTCTATCAGTTATTGCGCGTACTTGCCAAAACCGTTACAGTGCACACGCCTCCACGCATGCCGGCAGAGAAGGCAGCAGCACTGGCAGCAAAGAGCGAAACAGCGGAGCTGAAGCTGACTCTCACTGTACGACAGCGGCGTATCCGAAACGGCCTCCGACGTTGCCAACGCCACGCCAAAAGCAGTCAACGACCAGTCAATGACCAGTATGAGTCGTACCAAAACGACATTGCACCGCCCATGTCGGCAACCAGCACCACCGTGCACCCCGGAACGCCGCCAGGCAGCACAAATGCAGGTACGACAACATCCACCTCACCGCACACGGACACAACTACTCCGACAACAAAGTGTAATCACCCAGATGTGGCGCGTGCTGAAGACCTCCTCTCCTTACTTGTGACTACCACAGATATGTCTAAACAGCCAGCAAACCCCTGGGTTACCTCCGAACGACGCTGGAGACCCAGTCCCAATTCAGAATCCTCACCTTATTTCAAAAATTCCAAAAAACAAACAAAAAGAAAGCAACAACATCGACCCTGGCCAAAGACAACCCCTTGCCCCAGCAAAGGGCTCACGCTTCAGCCCACTGGTGGCCCAGGATACTCAATCCTAGCCTACAGACTTTGTAACGTTGTTCACCACACAATAGGGAGGTTCCGGAGGACGATTTTTCGTGCCAAAACCCGTAGAGGTGCTACGGATTTTTACGGATTTTTACACGAAGTTTTCGAGCAGTGAAATGTTCCGGAGTACGGAACTTATGTGTTTGCCCTCATTGTCTAGGTTACGATCGCAAACACGTCACATTCCGACGCTATGCCTTTTTATTTTGAAAATTTGTACCGAAATCAAAACCTCCTGCAGAAAATCGATGTTTCTTATACCAAATTTGTACGCGAAAAATCTTTCTGTACCCGACGAAGCAAAATCTCCATACGAAACATGGTTCGTATGTAAGCCAGTCCACACGGATACTCCATGCCGAAAAATTGTATGGAGCACGCCTGGAAAAATCCGTACCGCCCATATAGATTTTGGCAAGGAAAATCGTACCCCGGAGCCTCTCTAATATCAGTGAGAACAATACCTTCAATTGCGGAAATACCAAAAAAAACGAAACAAATTACAAAAAAAAAAAAAAAAATATGGAAGTAGAAAGGAAAGGGACATATGGAAACGAGTTGATAGTAACTCTCCACCACTGTAACTAGATACTATATACAGTCAGAAAGTGCAACAACTAGGCACAAAAGTGACAGAGTACTGATACATTCGACGTCCTGACACCTAGCTTTAACACATTTACGTAGCGCTAACCAACAGCCTTCCAACTTGGAAGGTTCAAGGTTATGGAAAGACCACAGAGGGGAGTGCAAGCGCAACGAAAACGAGCACAAGCTACAGTCCCAACGGGAACTAAGAATGTCGATTGTCACTGGACATTCTTTGTTCCGTTGGGACTGTAGCTTGTGCTCGTTTTCTCTAGCTTCAGCCGCAATAACATCACCATCACAAGCCTGCCCCCTATGGGTGCCTCTGATCATGTTGTCATACAAGGCAACCTCCGACCCCAGCAGCACACCACCCACAGAAACAATAATACCAATAATAATTTGAAACTCGGGTATTGAGCCAATAATAAAAGTAGAAAGGAAAAGGACATATGAAAACGAGTTAAGAGTAACTCTCCACCACTGTAACTAGATACTATATACAGTCAGAAAGTGCAACAACTAGGTGTCAGGACGTTGAATGTCTCAGTACTCTGTCAGTTTTGTGCCTAGTTGTTGCACTTTCTGACTGTATATCGTATCTAGTTACAGTGTTGGAGAGTTACTCTTAATTCGTTTCCATATGTCCTTTTCCTTTCTACCAATAATAATATTAAACAAAATTTTGAAGGACGCTTCACGCAGCTCCATTATACTTGAATCGTTTGCAGGCAACCTGCCTAAACTCAAGAGAGCACTGCATTTCACACAAATCCATTGGTATCGTTACAACGTTTCGGTCTTTATGACCATCATCAGGAATGAAGTGGACATGGAAAGAACAGCAGTATAAAAGAAGGAGGCAAGCAAGCAAAGCGCGGTACATAGTGACAGCGCGCGTAGAGAAGTGCAAAGTACGTCATGACGGGTGTGCACAACATCCGCCATCATACCAATACCAGCGGCAGTGCCCCAGGGCTCTGTCCTGAGACCACTTCTGTTCCTGGCGTACACCATTGACCTGCCCACTGCCTGTGAAAATGCTACAACCTCGTGTAGCCAGTTCGCGGTCGACACCGCACTGATTGCCATTGCAGGAAGCTACATTGAGTGTGAGGCTGCGCTACAAAGAAGCGTCGATGGCGCAGCAGAATGGCCAGAGCGCTGCAACCTGCTGGTCAATAAAACGAAAACCGTCATCCTCCATTTCAACTAACCCACCACGACTACCCGAAATAAAACTTGGGCAAACCCTACTAGAAACAGTAACACAACATCGTCACCTCGGCATCATCTTTCAGCACGACCTAAGATGGTCAGCCCACCTTGACTTTGTGCTGAAGAAAGCCGTAAAATCTTTTAATATTCTCTTTAGGCTCAAATCAACTCTAGACACTAAATCACTCTCTCCCTCTCTCATTTACAAAACATATATCCTGCCTATAGTTGAACATGCATGCATTGCTGTCACCCCGCTCTCAATCGCAGCCCTTGACCGTCTTGAGCGAATCCAGCGCAAGGCGGCCAGAATCTGCCTCCGTCTCCCCCTCTACACTCCTCTGAATCATTCAACACTGCTCCCACAGCTCAAATGGCCGACAATGTACTCTTGCCGCAAAGTGAAGCTCACCCTTCTTTCCCACTCCATAAAATACCAATATGCCCCACAACACATACGCATGCTCAACACTCCCGCTCAAGTTACGGCCCAGTACAGCCTTCGACACGCAGGCATTTGGCACCTCCCACCCTCCAGAACTGATCGCTGTAAAGACTCCCCACTGTACAAGTCCCTAGAATACTACAATGCCCTCCCTGCTAGCATCCGTGACGTCTCCTCCCGACCTGCTTTCATACAAGAATCTGCTCACTGCTGATTAACTCAATCTGCTCCTGCAGCGCTCACCCTCTCCCATACTTGTAACATTCAAAGGGATGTAAATCACTTTTAATCTGCATAACCCACAATCTCACCTTCTCATAAATGTATCTCTTATTGGCGATGGTGCCATCGTGAGAATAAAGAATTAAAAAGTTTTTCCTACTGAGGTACCTTTTAACCCTCATTTCGGGTTGTGGGGTCGAAACGGACTCCAGGGATATGATTGCGGGCACACAGGGAAGTGCAACAATTGCGATAGTTTGGGTATTTATCTCCATGGCCACCGAATACATGGATTGCATCCACTGAAGTAGAGGCCCTACAAAAAATGCTCTTCTACAGCCATAGTCCCGCATTCCAAGTTGACTTTTTTCCTACGTCCCCAGTATATTGGGGTCCTTCTGGACCCCAGGCAAGTTCTGGGTGGTATTCTTGCAAACTTGCAAATAATCCCGACAAACTTCAGAGTTGGCAACAAATGCAGTTTGGTCAAAGCATTGGTCTACAGGAAGCAAAAAAATACATAAAATGGAGAGTTTGCAAGAATACCACCGAAAATGTTCCTGGGGTCCAAATGGACCCCAATATACTGGGAACGTAGGAAAAGGTCAACATGGAATGAGGGTTAAGCAACAATAGCAGCGCTCTCTCCCTCTCTCGTTTACAAAACATATATCCTGCCTATAGTTGAACATGCATGCATTGCTGTCACTCCGCTCTCAATCGCAGCCCTTGACCGTCTTGAGCGAATCCAGCGCAAGGCGGCCAGAATCTGCCTCCGTCTCCCCCTCTACACTCCTCTGGATCATTCAACACTGCTCCATCGGCTCAAATGGCCGACAATGTTCTCTCGCCGCAAAGTGAAGCTCACCCTTCTTGCTCACTCCATAAAATACCAATATGCCCCACAACACATACGCTTGCTCAACACCCCCGCTCAAGTTACGGCCCAGTACAGCATTCGTGACATCTCCTCCCGACCTGCTTTCAAACAAGAAATCTGCTCACTGCTGATTAACTCAATCTGCTCCTGCAGCGCTCACCCTCTCCCATACTTGTAAAGTTCAAAGTGATGTAAATCACTTTCCAACTGTTTAACCCACAATTTCACCTTCTCATCAATTCATCTCTTATTGGCGATGGTGCCATCGAGAGAATAAAGAATTCAAAATTCAAACACCAGAAGCTTCAACAGAGCAAAAAAACTACATTGGCATCGCCGTCACCATCACCAGCAGCACCACCAGCACCAGCAGCAGTAGCAGCAGCATCAGCATCAGCACCGCCACCAGCAGCAGTAGAAAGAAGCAACGACCGTATCAACAGAGGCTGCATACAAAACACCGGTAGGAGAAATCCGTAAACTTACCAGCAGTACATGTACATTGCCCAGTGATACCACTGCAGGTTCCATTGTTTGGGCAAGAACAAGACATAGAACAGTTGTCGCCATATCGGCCGTGGGGACATAACACACAAGCTCCATTGACGCGCCAAGATCCTGTTGCACAGCTGCAGATACATATCAATATTGGAGGAAACCGAAAAGCTTCACCAGCATATCACTATTTAGACGGTAAATCTTACTACTTGCATGTTTGTAAGGCCAAAACAACCCTGGAACCTTTGGATCATTTGCATCTTTTTTCATAAAACATTTGGCTTGTAGTACTTCTTCCTTGATTTGTTCCCATCTTCTGTTTGTGCCTTGTTCACTATTCTATTTCCCTCTTCTGTTTGTGCCTTGTTCACTATTCTATTTCCCTCTTCTGTTTGTGCCTTGTTCACTATTCTATTTCCCTCTTCTGTTTGTGCCTTGTTCACTATTCTATTTCCCTCTTCTGTTTGTGCCTTGTTCACTATTCTATTTCCCTCTTCTGTTTGTGCCTTGTTCACTATTCTATTTCCCTCTTCTGTTTGTGCCTTGTTCACTATTCTATTTCCCTCTTCTGTTTGTGCCTTGTCCACTATTCTATTTCCCTCTTCTGTTTGTGCCTTGTTCACTATTCTATTTCCCTCTTCTGTTTGTGCCTTGTTCACTATTCTATTTCCCTCTTCTGTTTGTGCCTTGTTCACTATTCTATGGATCTTGTAACAAGTCTTTAAAAGAAACTAAAGAATGAAGAACACATATCAAAACATGAATTCGATCGCATCAAACCTACTGGTACCCTTCGTCCTAGACCTTATTACCTTTCAAACGCAACTGTCACCAAACATTTTCTTTGTCTTATCTTGTAGTTCTTTGGCTCCTGATCATGATGGTGTTATTCGTTTTATCTGCAATGACTGGAAGTGTGTAAAAACTTGAAAAGAAGGTGCCAAAAATTGTCCCGAAGTAACGAGTGACATTATGCTACGTGAAGGCGATTCATCTGACGATGTTGCTGAAGATGCAGATGACAAGCTCTGACGTCTTTCAGTTCAGAGCCGCGTGGACAACACCTTCGATACAACGAAATCATTAATTTTTCAAGTACGAGGTACGTGTGTCACACTTACAGCAAACAAATATCCATCCACTCCTTCGTAATCAGAAACAAAACAAAGACCGAAAGAGCTGGAGCTTCAAAGAGGAAGTACTAGTGGGACAAACTGATGTCAACTTTTGTTTGTTTCCTCCCTTTTTGGCGTTCTGATTGTGTACAACATACACATCAGTGTCCGAGCTCAGAAGCCACAAGTGTGCCGTACATTGAACAATTGGCTCGATCGACCAGCGCAGGGGCAGGACTTCATTTTGACGACGAATGTATGAGTGGAGGTCAAGTCCGGCGTGCCGTCATTCGATACTTCGTGGCAATTTTAGGCACCTTCTTTTCAAGTTTTCACCCACTTCCAGTCATCGCAGAGAAAAACGAATAGCACCATCATAATCAGGAGCCAAAGAACTACAACATAAGACAAAGAATTTTTGGAGACAGCTCCCTTTATATCCATAAACGTACATACCATGTTAGACCAATAGTATCCATGACCGCGGCCCCTCAATACTCTAACTCGAAATGGCTGTGCATCTACCTATAGCCTGTTCAAGATTACTATTTCAAACGCACCGTGAAGAATAGCTTCGATTTTGTTGCGAAGCTCCGTGATAATCCGGTCCCTCTCAATGCACACGTGTGTTCCTTACATGTTGTTAGTCTCTTATTGATGACACTATTGACATCTGTATGGACGTATTGTACCGCAACAAGGATTTTGACACTCCATTGGTATCTGAATGGCGGGCGAGAGTCAGTCAATTGTCAAGTTGAGTGGGAATTGTGAGATGCACATAGACACAACCAACTTCATTTACCGCTACCACCGACGTCTCTACTTCACAACACATACCATACAACTTGTGTGTGAACTAGGTTTGAACAAGTGCAGATAATTACCTTTTCACAAAGAGATTCGCGCTCATCATGACGAAAGCAACAAAGTAAGGCGCACTTTTGCCTAATATTCTCTATAATCTCTGTAGTAAAGTTTTGCACGAAGCTGCTCCTTGTCAACAAACAGCATTATCCAGTTCTAAACCGCACCAACAACAAAAAACGCACACTTGAAACTCACCCACACTCAAACTGCGTTGGTATACACACTGACAGCCTGTCAGGATTGGAGCGGCAGTCACAGTGGACACACACACTTCCATTGCCGTGGTATGGGTCTTTGCAATCAATGCATTCTCCAGTGCTGGGGTGACATAGGTTTTTACAATGGCAGGTTTGGTTGCATCCTGGACCGTACAAATTCCTTGGGCATTCCTGATCACAGCTGATTGTAGTTCAAAAGTAGACATAGACAGAAATCGTAATCATTATGTTCTGGCTGCCCGTTTTGGATCATCTGATGATCGTAAAGAATGCGTGAAACTCAGAGTTGTAACAAAGCTTCCTATCTCTCTCTCTCTTGTGTACAAGGCTCTGCCCTACATGCGTATCGAGCACTCTTCGTACTGTGAAGCACACCACTTGACTAATCACTTTCAAAAACCGAACGACCATAGCAACAGGTGAAAATAGCATGTTACCATGACCACTAACAATAGTAACTAGACAGGATGCTGTATGTGCCGAAATGCTCACATTCACAATGTGTCACTGGAAATGCTCGAGTCACTGGCAATAACAGTCACCAAAGAGAATTCACAGCCACAAAGAGAGCTTGCAAGACCTGTGGTCTCGTCAAGTTTTTTGAGGGGTCAAATGGGCGTACCAGGTACCCGGGTACCCGCCTGCTAATCTCAGGTACCGTTAGTAAAAGGGTGCCGGTCAGGATTTCGATGGGACCGCGCATTCCAGCATTCCAGGCGGGAGTCAAATATTTACAACTCTCCGCTGCTTGTCTGCAGTGTACAGCAGTGTGCAGCACACTGTACACTGTACAGTGTACAGTGTGCAGTGTACACTGTACACTGTACAGTGTACTGTAAGGCTTTCGCACCACTGCAATGCGCTCCAGCTGATACAGTATGAGTCCTGCAATGCGCTCCGGCTGATACAGTACGAGTCCTGCACGGCCCTATGCACCACACACTTACACATCTGCGACTACTCCTATTCCACTGGCTGCAGACTAAAAAAAAAAAGAGTGCGGACATACCCTTTTTCCTCAAGTTGCATTCCCGTTCCGACTTTGTCAGACAGGAGCAGGCTGAGAGACAGTCGTTCTCTCCATTCTTGTGCCAGTCAAAATACTCATACTGGAGGTTTTTGATTGCGGATGTGATCAACAAAAAGCAAGATAAAACTCGTTCTAGGCGCCAGCTGAATTGCTAGAAACTCAGTCGCGATGGTTCTCGATCTCGGACATCAAACCTGCCAACGCATTTGAGGATGAACTCGCGTCGCCAGGCTGAGTGCCACACAGTGATGTCCGTAGTTGGTAGCTATGGTATTCTTGGTTGTAGTTAAGTTGGTTCAGTCATTCAACAGCTTGATTTAGTTAAAAAATAGTTCAAAATATTGCATTTGCAATCTATTTTGTGTAGATTCGTTTCACGAGTTCAACGACCGGCTAGTACTAGAAGCATACTAATATTCAATGATTATTGTCAGATCAATTTAGGAACTGATGTGATATCAAAATGCAACCTTAGCATAGATAGATTTAAAAATTTAAATCATGATTTATGTGAGGAATGCGCAAAAAAAGTAAACATGGCAGCTAAAGGGTACCCGTTAACCCGCCCGTTAAGAATATTACCCGTTTGTTAGTTAAAGGTACACCTGTTTGACCCCTAGTTTTTTTTTCTTTCTTTTACAAAATCAACATACATGTATCGCTAGACACGGATTCCAATAAATAAGGGGAGGGGCTTCAGAGGTTTAAATTTGAGGAAGAGTGTGAAAAATTTCCCCGACCAATGCCAAGTGCTGATAAAACAATTTCAAAGACCGGCTAGTACTGGAAGCATATGGTCACTTTTTGGGATCACATGCGAGAGTCGTTAAACGAACCTGTTCCATAGACTTTTCAATGCGCAAAATGTTGAGAACGATCTCGGACGAGCGCCGCACCGCACCGTCTCCTTGAAAAAGCTCTATTGCAAGACAATAATACTTACTTCTTTCCCATGTATCCATCGGGGCACACACATCCAATAGCGTTGTCACATATTCCACGCGTACAGTTGCATGTGTACATGCAGTTATGTCCATACCGGTCCCCAGTACAGGGTTGTGTGCAGGTGTGTTGCTGCAATAGATTCAGATCAGGGAAAACAGGACAAAATACATCTGAATGTGAGTGCACACAAAATTCACATCCGCATGCATGTGCAAACAAACGTACATACACAAAACTAGTGCTGAAACGAGTACTCTATAAGCTATCGAGCGAGTACTGTCACTATCGAGTCGAGTATTGAGTACTCTATAAGCACACATGCGCATATATATGTATGTCAGTAAACAGAAATCGAGAGAAATATTCAAAATAGGTCCGAGCCTAGCTACATGCGCTTGTCAAGCGCACACGCGTATACGCTTCCTGTTCGACTTTTGCTACAGTCTAGTACAGCCTACAGGCACATGTACCGGTGCTACAGACAGTGCAGTAGACGAGTACAGTAGGAGAGACTCGTACTCAGTAGTGTACAAAAACTTGTAGGTGAGTAGACACTACGCATTTGTGTACCGGATCCGTGGACGTGTACGTCGCTATCAAGTATTTTTTTATTTTTTTATCGAGTATCGAGTCCTTTTTTGATATCGAGTCGAGTACTCAACGAGCGGGTACTCGAGTACTCGGCGTACTCGTTTCAGCACTACACAAAACACACACATACACATACACATACACACATACACATACATACACACACACATACTTGTACTTGTACTTGTACTTGCTCACTGCCAAAACTGGTCACGTGGGTCTCCCCGGGAGAGGGGAGAGAGACTCAAAAGGAATCTTGGAAAGATGACTCAATTGGCCATTGAACCACTCAACGGCCGACACCCCCTGAAATCCCCAAACTAGGGTGGACTTGAAATGAT